ACAAAATCCTGAAAGGTTGAGAACAAACTGAAGAAAAATTATTTCTTTGTGCTTTTTTTTTTTCTCTAATCTAGAGTGACTATACACTCCACACAAAAATCTATAAGCCACTGGGGGGAGATGATGCATTTCTAGCTGACTGATTTTTTAAAAATTAATAAATAAATGTGGCCTTTTAAAGTCTCTACCTGCCAGATTTTTCTATGCATTTTCTGCTATCGAACCAGTAGGATGGTCAGACAGAGATGTGGATTTTCAAATTAGAAGGAAGACAGGAGCTATCTGCTGTGGGTAAGACAATACCCTTTTAGGACTGCAGAATTCTACTGGACACGTGAACTACCAGCACTTCATATAAGCAGAAGTAATAGTCAGGCTGCGAATACCAATGAATGTCCAGTAAAGGACAGCTGTGAACTTCCTTCCTTTTTCTCACTGACTGTCCCCACCACTCACAAATCAAAGGGCTCAGGTTGGGACTCTCAAGGTTAACACTCTAGCACTTTTTTTTTTCTATTTTTTTAAATTTTAATTCCAGCATAATTACCATACAGCATCATATTAGTTTCAGGTGTACAATATAGTGATTCAACACTTCCATACATCATCCAGTGCTCATCATGACAAGTGTATTCCTTAATCCCCATCACCTATTTCACCCATCCCCCCACCCACCTCCCCTCTGGTAACCATCAGTTTGTTCTCTAGAGTTAAGTCTGTTTCTTGGCTTGTCTCTCTTTTTGTTTTTTTCCTTTGCTCATTTGTTTTGTTCCTGAAATTCCACATACGAATGAGATCATATGGTATTTTTCTTTCTCTGACTTATTTCACTTACCATTATACTCTTTAGCTCCATCCATGTCATTGCAAATGGCAAGATTTCATTCTCTTTTATGGCTGAATAATATTTCATTGCGTGTGTGTGTGTGTGTGTATCACCTCTTCATCCATTCATCATTGATGGGACACTTGGGCTGCTTCAGTATCTTGGCTATAGTAAATAATGCTACAGTAAATAAGGGTGCATGTATCCCTTTGAATTAGTGTTTTTAGTATTTGGGGGGTAAATACCCAGTAGTGTAATTACTGGATCTTAGGGTAATTCCATTTTTAACTTTCTGAGGAAACTCCATCCTGTTCACAGAGGCTGAGCCAGTGTGCATTCCCACCAACAGCACACAAGGGTTCCTTTTTCTCCACATCCTCACAATGCTTGTTGTTTCTTGAGTTTTTTATTTTAGCCATTCTGACAGGTGTGGAGTGATATCTCATTGGGGTTTGGTTTGCATTTCCCTGATGATGAGTGATGTTGAATATCTTTTTTTTTTTTTTTAAGATTTTATTTATTTATTTGACAGAGAGAGAGCACAAGTAGGCAGAGTGGCAGGCAGAGGGAGATGGAGAAGCAGGCTCTCCACTGAACAGGGAGCTGGACGTGGGGCTCGATCCCAGGACCCCAAGATCATGACCTGAGCAGAAGGCAGCCGCTTAACCAACTGAGATACCCAGGCGCCCATGATGTAGAATATCTTTTCATGTGTCTGTTGCCATCTGGATGTCTTTTTTAGAGAAGTAACACTCCAGCACTTTCAACTGCATCTCTCTGTGCCTCAATTTCTTCATTGTAAAATAATAATAGAATTTATTTCAAAATAATATTTGAAGATTGAAGTATGTATATGTTAATTGCTAAGAATAGTGCCTTTCTTAGAGTTTAACACTGTGTCAGTGCTCACTACTGTTATCTGGAGTAAATCACCAGTCAGCTCTAGGCATCTAGAGATGTAGACCAGATAAAAATGACCTTTTTTCCTGCTCATGTTACAGGAATATTGAGAAGATGAAGTTTATATGTAAAATGTCAACAACTGTCTAGACAGAATATCTGTTTTAAGGTTAATGAATATCCTCAAATAAATCTATAGACAATCTGTATCTTAGGTCTGGAGGCTCCTTGGACATAGATTAGCTTGTTCCCAAAAGACAGGAGATATGAAAGTATCTTATGATCTATAGGAAGGAAAAATTCACTAATTATTATTATATTACTTTTTTACCACTTACCATCCTTAGAATACCTTACTACACAGTAAATTCTCATCAAATACCTGCTAAATTCAATATAATTTTATTTAATCTTTCATTTTTCACAAGGAGTATTTGAGCTACATTGGAGTCTCATCTTTCTTTATAATAAAGACACCACTTACTTTCTTTTTTAAGATTTTATTTATTTATTTGACAGAGAGAGAGACAGCGAGAGAGGGAACACAAGCAGGAGGAGTGGGAGAGGGAGAAGCAGGCTTCCCGCTGAGCAGGGAGCCCTATGCGGGGCTTGATCCCAAGACCCTAGGATCATGACCTGAGCCGAAGGCAGATGCTCAATGACTAAGCCACCCTGGCGGCCCATCCACTTACTTTATTTCAAAAGTAAAATAAAACCCAATTCACTGAGGCAGTGGAAATTATTTAAATGAACCTAGAAGTCTATTATAAAAGGTGACCTCTGAAGGAGTAGGTCCTTTAAGGATGGGAAGGACATGTTTTCATGTTTTCGTTTTTGTTTTTTTTAATTTACCCTTGACCTGGAGTTTAAATGGTGGGCCTTTCAGTAAAAGGGATTTTTCTAATTTTCTGCTGAACCTAGAGAAAGAAAATAGCACGGAAAACAGAGTATAAGTTGAATCCTGTGTTTGGTTTTCACAGCTGACAGCTGGAAGCTGAATAGAATAACTTGGAATGGAGGAGAAACAATAACAATTTTTAGTAGTAAAGACGTTTGTCTTCAAGATTCTTCAGAGCATTGTCATGGGACTATGTTTAGAGAAAGGATAGGAAGCACTTAATAACTCTTTTAATAAAAAGTACAATGAAGCCAAAGGCAAACATCCTTCGGCTGATGTCATCCCATCAATATGTGATACAATCTTTGCAAGTCAGAATCTTATCGACAGCCCAGCTGGCAAATTTCTTCAGTGGCAATACTGCTTTTCACATAGATATTATGGGTGGAAGATTTTTTCCTACAGGTTGCTTTTGGTCCAAAATATCAAGATCTTTTTCCAGGCACTGGTGAAAGATTGGGCCTTGGCACTGGGTTAACAAGTTTTAGATCTCGGTCTCACCAATAATAAATGGTATATCTTTGATCCATTTCATTGAAATCCAAGCTAGATTTAAAAAGGGGGGAGGGGGAAAGGAAACAGAAAACTCTGTCCTACAAATGTAAAGAAGCTTTGTTATACGCCATGGGTAAAGTGTATTAAGTGTGTATAAAAAAGAAAAACAGAATAGTAATATTGATAGAATAATATTATTAGATCCTAAAAATCTGTTCATCCAATGAACCTTGTAAAAAAAGTTATGTACACTTTAAATCAGGTTATGATGGGGTTTTTTTGTACTCTTCATAAATGACAAGAATCCCTTTACAAAGTATTTGACCTCCCAAATAGTAACGCTGAAACTGAGGCAATCTACTAGACTCTTCTACTTATTTCATAATTGCTTCTGTCCCCAAAGTAAAAGCTCCCCTTATACTTCTCACTCTTCCTGCTATTGCAGGATTCATGACCTGTTTCCTGTTGATAACTTTTAAGAGCTGGTTCAATATCCTCAGGAAAAGAAATAGCTCATTGTGTACCCTAGGGAACTCAGATCTACCAGGAAAGACTATGTTCCTCATTTGACTTTTCCTGAAATTTCTTTGGAATGACCTAAACACACAAGAGCCTGGAAGAAAAAAGTTCTCAAGCCAAAAAAATTCACGGGGCAATACTCTCTCTGATTCTCCATGGAAAAATGTTCTCAGCAAATTATGTCATGATTATTTCCTATTCTTAAATTTTAAAAAAGTTTGTGGAGAAAATGTTATACCATACTATTATTCTTTGAAATATTTGCTCATATTGGGATTAGTGTTGTGAGTTTTGTTATACAGGTGATGGGATTGAGGGCAGAGATGGAGAGAAATAAGGTCGAGAATAGCAAAAATGTCAAAGAAATGTTATTTTTTTCCCTCCTCACTATCTAAAGTGACACTTTCCTCAGGTTGCAGATTTGAAGGGAACACTTCAAATACTATTCAACACCCACTGCCCAGGCAGCTAGACTCTTTAAAGCAATGGCATTTAAAGAGACACTTGTCATTCAACCCTGCACTAGACTGCAGTTATGTAGGATTCCAGGGGTCAACACAATGTGTGTCATGTCCCTATTTACAACTTAGTCCACAAAGTCATTCGACTTTCCTTAGGTTAACCACATTTTCTTCCTGTAGTAACAAGACTTAAATTGCACTTAACTGCTTAGCTGAAGTCCTCATCCACATTTCTTGTTACATGCTTATTATATTAACTTGCATCCATTAAATATCTGCACTGATCATAGAAAATATTTGGTAATATCCACAGCTTTCCAAAGTGCCTCTCTACAATTTACTAAAGAATACAGGTCTCCAAAAAGGGTTGTTTATGCTTGTGTGTGCTCCCTTATTTAAAAAAAAAAAAAAAAAAAAATTACTAATTCCTTTTTTTTACATATTTTTAATATCTTTTACATTTTATATTACAATTTGGATTATAAAACTAATTTCACATTTACTTCATTTCAGCTAACAGCACCATGAGAAAATTATAAACATTTGCACTTTATACTTAATGAAATAAGCTTAGTGAAGTGAAGTGATTCACCCAATAATAGATCAGAATACAAGGTCTAAAACTCTAATTTTCTGACCACAAATACAGTCTTTTTGCATGACACACCAAATGGAATACAAAATTTGTTCAACACTGAAGAAATTTCATAATCAACAGAAAATTGAAAGGAAAATTCGTAAGGAAGAAATCCACAAGCAGTGATTGCTAAGTAACACAGTCTTATGAAAATGAATACAGAAATGTTCTCTTTATCATATGTTTGCTAATTTAATGTCATTTCACCACACAATAGATGTTTACTGAAAATAAAACTGAAGCAGCCTAGTTTTCGCTGCTGAAAAATAAAGATAATAGATTATCCTCACGAGCATTAAACCCCTAAAACTGATTTCTCTACAAATCAACAGTCACTGGTTGTGACGGTGTTACTTGCAGTAACCCATTACTTTTGTGCATCTTGGCATCCTGAGAAAGGGGGCGCTTACACAAGAAGCCAGTGATGTGTGCAGATGTTCACAGTTTCTCTTCCACTTTCCATGACCTTATTGGATAACTCACCCTATTAAGATTGTATTTACTCATCTTTAGCTATGTGTTAATGACAAACTTGCCTCAAAGGATTTCATCTCAGGAGAGTATTAAAATCATCTTCTTGAAGACAGCATGTTTCTCAAAGACTTATCCCTCAAATAATCAAATAATCAGTACTCTTGTAGAGTCCCTACAAACTCTCTGTAAGGCACAAACAACCAGAACACAGATTGCTATCACTTTTGAAGAGCATCTCCACACTGAAATTGTCCCCAAATCACAAATCTATTCTCCGTCACACACATTTCACATTATTTACATTTATTATTATTAAATCTTCAGTACCTGAAAGGTATAAACATGGATCAAATGGAAGAAAATAGGAGCTGAAACCAAACTATTATAGACCCACATAAAGAGACTGACTTTTGCTCTGGTCTTCAGTATTGCTGAAGGGAGCATCAGGGACAGTAATTTGGATATGGAACTGAGCTGAGAATATTTCTTTCCTGGAAGAAATTCCTAGGGAAAGGACACAATCATTGGAGTTGTTTGTTTGTTTGTTTGTTTGTTTGTTTTAGAGAGAGAGAGATCATGAGTGGGGAGGGGCAAAGGGAGAGGCAGACAAAAAATCTTAAGCAGGTTCCACTCAGCACAGAGCCCGAAGCAGGGCTCGATTCCAGGACCCTCAGATCACGACCTGAGCTGAAATCAAGAACTGACTGAGCCACCCAGGTGTCCCAATTGTTGGAGTTCTCAATGGATATGGGGAGGTACGTTCGTAAGAAGTTAAGATTCTAACTAAGAGAATTATCCCAGTGGAAAGCAGCCCATTGACATGGCAGATAGGGGCTTTATTGAAAGACTAGGAAGGGAAAAATATGGAGTGAAGCAAACAGAAAGAATTAATTATGTATTTAGGAGCACAGTATAGGAAATGATTGCTAATTTCTCACAGACTACTTGACCTTTGGGGCAAAGAATGTTACGTACATTTATTTCCTCTACTTCAGTAAGTTTCTCACTTCTCCAAATATGAAGGAAGACGTGGAAACAGGGGGATGATACTAGATGCTGAGAAGGAAGAACATTAGACGTGATCTCTAAGTCAAGAAGGTGGATTACAACTTTATGAGATTCTGAGACTGGTTGTTGGCACATCGGATGTCTTTGTGACTGGTAAATATATGCATGAACCCAAGCTCAGGAGTGCTGGGGATCCTGAACAGGAAGCATGAAAATCCTTCTTGCACCAGTCAGAAAAATTGCTTTTCCTAACTTTTTTTTTCCATGTTCCAATGTCTCAAATATCCTTTGCATTGACTTTGCTTGGCTCAACCTTTATGCTGAATTGTTGTATAAATATGGTCACATGGGGAAAAATAGGAACTGAAACCAAACTCTTACAACTGCACATAAAGAGATTGACTTCTGTTCTGATCTTCAGTCTCCCTGAGGGGAGCTTGACATTGCAGTTATGGTGGGAGAGTCCATCACCTCCATATAATGGCTCAGGGAAGCTAATAGAGGCTCTCGGGCTTCACCATGGCCGCCTTTCTTTCGCATGCACACCGCCTCAACTCTTTGCAGTCCTTCGAGAAAGCCTTTCCATTGAGGATGGTCACACAGTCCCTGCTTCTTAGGCTAGTAAAATCTATTATAATCTCAAACCTTAAAGAAAAAAAAAAAAAAGGTTCATTGAATCATAGTTTGCTTCTAAAATGAAATGTTAAATACCCAGAAAGTACATAGGGAGTACTCCTAACTCGATAAAATTATAGAATAGATACGCAGAAGGAATTTACTGGAGAGATGGGGTCACCAAGCTCTTTCTTTTCAGCCCCTCAATTTCCATACTTGTTCTTAGAAGCATCAGTTCATCTACAACAACAAAAACTGTTTGTAAGTAAAACTAAGAGGTATGCTATAATCCAAATTTATCATATTTTACCATCATCTGAAAAATCATCTACTTTCTCTGTGACTCAGTTTAATTTACTATAAAATAAAAATGATTACATGAAGTATGTCTTATCTCCTGGGAGAATAAATCCCGTATGATCTACAGAGAAGAAAGGTGTCTGTCCAAACATGGCTTCAAACTGTCATTATATTTTAGAATAGATATTCCATTTACCTATTTCAAAAGATATCGTGCACAATCTTATCTAAATACTCACATTAGTAAAACCAATTTTTTTTTTAAAGATTTTCTTTTTTTTTTTTTTTTTAAGATTTTGTTTATTTATTTGAGAGAGAGAGAGAGAGCACAAGAGGGGGGAGCGGGAGAGGGAGAAGCAGACTCCCCGCCGAGCAGGGAGCCCGATGCGGGACCCGATCCTGGGACTCCAGGATCATGACCTGAGTCGAAGGCAGTCGCCCAACCAACTGAGCCACCCAGGTGCCCTTTACTTATTTATTTAAACATTTTATTTATTTATTGTCAGAGAGGGAACACAAGCAGGGGGAGCGGGAGAGGGAGAAGCAGACCCCCCGCTGAGCAGGGAGCCCGATGCGGGGCTCGATCCCGGGACTCCAGGATCATGACCTGAGCCGAAGGCAGTCGCCCAACCAACTGAGTCACCCAGGCGCCCCTAATTTAGTTATTTTTTTAAAGATTTTATTTATTTATTTGAGAGAGAGAGTACATGAGAGGGGGGAGGGTCAGAGGGAGAAGCAGACTCCCTGCCGAGCAGGGAGCCCGATGCGGGACTCGATCCAGGGACTCCAGGATCATGACCTGAGCCGAAGGCAGTCGCTTAACCAACTGAGCCACCCAGGCGCCCCTAAGTAAAACCAATTTTTGATAATATTGCTCCTTATAACCTCAGTAAATCTGTTCTCAGAGACTGTATTTTTAAAAATTTTATTTCTTCATTTATTTGAGAGAGAGAGAGAGAAGGAGCCTAAGTGGGGGGAGGAGTAGAGGGAGAGGGACAAGGAGACTCTGCACTGAGTGCAGGACCCTGAGGTCATAACCTGAGCCCAAACCAAGAGTCAGATGCTTAACCAGCTGGGCCACCCAGGTGCCCCTCCAAAACTGTACTTCTAAAGATGTGCTCCCTATTACACTGCACAGGAAGCCAAGAAATCTGAGGTCTTGCATTATCTCTGGGTACTGGTAAAGTTGTGAAGTTGTGTGGTCTTAGGCAAGTTACCATCACGACCTGGGTTTCAGTTTATGCAGCCATAAAAGATCTCTTCCCCTCCTCCTCCTCTTCCTCCTCTTCCTTCTTTTCTCTCTCTCTCTCTTGGTCTTTGTCTTCCCCCTTCCCCCGTCAGCGAATCCCAAATACTTAATAATGCTCCAAGGGACATCAGTCCTGAAATAAAAACCCTGAAAGCTTCCAGACAGAGAACTGTCCCTACTATTTTACTACCATTTTGTATGTCTCCTTCACTGGTTTATAAGCCATTCAAAAGCAAGCACTATGCTTTCTTTTTATACATCTGTGTACATCCTCCTACAAACACAGTACCCAATACAAAGTGGAGGTTTGATTAATGCTTATTGAATCAAGTTGTTGAACTCAGTTACTCAAGCGCAAGCTCTCTGCTAAATGCCCTTCCCACAAAATGTTCTGAAGGCTTACAGTTCAGGGGAGTACGGGGCTCCGTCAGTCCACAGCCAGGCTTTGCCGCTGCCATTGCGAGAGAGCCCTGTCCAATAAGAGTAGAAAAACTCAGAGTAGCTCTGAGGCATGGCAAACTCCTGTGAAAGGCACACAAGAAGACCTTTAGCTTTAGACATGTTATACTATGTATACACAGAGATGCGTAGGACCAGCCAGCACTTTTAATATGAGAACAGCACTCGAGTCCTGCCCCACATAGGTGATGGTACACTTGAGGGAAAAAGTGTCCGTGCTGAAGTCAGTCCAAGCTAAAGAATTTATCTTGTCTTAATAAGTTTGAATATATGCGGATATTCTAAAACCGACAATCACATCAACCAAGATTTATAAATGACCCATTATTTTCAAGTCACAGAATAAACACTAAGATTTAGATAAAAAAAAAATATGGGGGGCGGATTTACAAAGAGAGGTGGGGTGATTGCAAAATGGAAGAATACGGGAAGAAAAGTGTAAAAATGGGGAAGTAATCTTTATAAATACATGCAAAGGGACTGACAGGAAGGAGAAGAGAATAATGAATATACTTTTTTTTTAAGATTTTATTTATTTATTTATTTGAGAGAGAGAGAGAAACAGCATGAGAGGGGAGAGGGCCAGAGGGAGAAGCAGGCTCACCGCTGAGCCAGGAGCCTGATGTGGGACTCAATCCCAGGACTCCGGGATCATGACCTGAGCCGCAGGCAGTCGCTTAACCAACTGAGCCACCCAGGCGCCCCAAGAATGATGAATATACTTTAATGCAAAAAGAGGTACGAGAAAATTTGGAAGGATGATTTACGTCTCAGACAAGGAAGGGGAGAAAGAGAAATTTTTCATATGTGTGTGTGTGTGTGTGTATTTATAATTTTGTATAGTATTTATATATACACACATATATCATTCCTTCTCTAATATCTATATTGATTTTTTAAAGATTTTATTTATTTATTTGTTTGTTTGTTTGTTTGTTTGTTTGTTTGAGGTGGGGGGAGGAGCAGAGGGAGAGGGACAAGCAGACTCCATTCTGGGCGTGGAGCCCAACTTGGGGCTTGATCTCACGACCCTGATATGACCTGAGCTGAAATCAAGAGTGAGACACTTAACTGACTGAGGGACCCAGGCGCCCCTCTATATTAAATTTTTTTAGTTACCTACTTCCTTCTATCCAGTCTTACTCTTTAACATAAATTATTTAAATTTATTATAATTATCAATTTTTATGTCCTTCCTTTCCACTATACTATGAGTTCCTTAAGGATACATACTTTGTTTTATGTCCTCAACCCTTCAGATAATTAATGCCATATGTTGATTCAATAAAAGATTATTGGAAATAGATATGAAACTATCACTAAGCAATAGTCATCTAGTAGGCATATCAAAGGAAGTGTAGTTGAAAATACTTCCAATTTATGGTAGACACCTCAAATTAAAAGTTCTAAAAATAAGTCATATGAAAATGACTTAAATATGTACAATTCTTTGAAGTGCATGAGACAAAATCACTATATAACTTACAACTTATATATAACTTATATCACTATATAATCACAATATTTCCTACTCTTATATATAATACAATTCAATTATAATATACCTGAATCCTCAGTATATGCTAGAGGTGGAGGAAACAAAGAGTACAAGAAAAATCAGGTGGGCATAATTATGGTAGGACACATTGTCTCAGTCAAATTACTTCCCTTTCTGCTTAAATTGAGCCATTGAGAAAGGATAAAAAATATTATTTTAGTAGATGAGAGACACTTCAGAGTTGCATTCATCACAGATTTCAGAAAAGTGGGTAGGAATTAAGATGTAACTAGAAGGATGTTAAGAGTTTGCATAGTGAGCTGGGCATTTATTTCAGTTAAATAATCCTTTGTTGATAAACTACTCTGTGCCAAGACTTCTGCTAAAACAATGAAAAATAAATAATGGTCACACTGCTTAAGGGATTAAATCCAAAGGCAATAATAAATATTTTTTAAAAGGGTGGGAACAATTACACGATTTTAAAAGTTTATCTTAACTGCATATACTTAATATATGTCAATTTATAATTTTACTTTCATATTTGCCTCGACTAATCTATGTTAGGTTATAAACTTCTGGAGGACAAGATATTTATCTGCAGGTTATAGTAATGAATTAATTAAATATTTTTCAATTAAAAGCTTTGTCCTTTTATAACGGAAGAACAGGAAATGCTATTTTCATCTTTCTAACCTTGCCTCAATACCGTGCCCTTCCTGCCCAAACCAAAAGCGGTAAGAAATTAAGGGATTTTTTATTTGATTCCTGACTGGTGGGGATTTTGAAGAGCTTCCTCTAGTGTTTTTTTGTTGTTTGTTTGTTTGTTTGTTTGTTTGGAGAGCAGAACAGCTTTTACATACTCAGGGAATCACTAAAAACAATAGGAGTAAGACCTTGATTGCAGTAAGTGCAAAAGTCTGGGCACATTGACTCCTTAGACTCTTCTTGTATAGCTCTTTTAAGGACCTCTTTTTCGAGAATAATTCAAACAGGAATCTTACCAGCACTTCTTGTGTGTTTATCTTCAGCATGGTCGCGTTCTCAGCGATGCAGAAATAGTCACAGCCCTGCCAATTCTTGCTCTCTCTACAGAATCGGTAGCATTTGTCCCCATGCCACTTCCATTCTTCTGGACAAGGGCTGCATCTGTGTTCTTAGAAAGAAGCCAATTTTAATGCTATTTTCTATCCAGGTCTGCCATCTTTCTGCCCCTGAAATTACATAGTACTTGATGATTCAAGTACTCTTATTATTTAGAGTACTTTCTTTTAGATATTTAATTGCCCAGAAATGATAACTACAAATGTTTACCAAATACTCACTATATGCCAGAAATTGTAATTGGTACTGAGTATACAGTAAAAATTAAAACAGACACTACCTGCTTTCATGGACTTTGGAATCTAATAATACATGATTAGAACTTCCTTGCTTCTTGCCCTATATAATTCAGCACACAGAGGATATTCAATTTCATAAAGAACTTTTCACATGTTCAAAAACCCATTGTGCCTTGTATTTAAGAAAGAACTGAAGCTTCCACAATTTTTTCCTCAAAATCCTCTTATATAATTATAAAAGGATTCTTTTAATGCGATATATACCAATAAGATATGGACTCTTCTCTTATTCTAAACACAAGTAAATAAAATTTTAGAAAAAAAAGACAAATATACTAAGCAAGGTATGATTTAGAATGGTAAATCTCCATGTGTCAGATATTTTTTTTTTTTTAATTTATTTTGACAGAGAGAGACACAGCAAGAGAGAGAACACAAGCAGGGGGAGTGGGAGAGGGAGAAGCAGGCTTCCCGCGGAGCAGGGACCCCGATGCGGGGCTCGATCCCAGGACCCTGGGATCATGACCTGAGCTGAAGGCAGATGCTTAATGACTGAGCCACCCAGGCGCCCCTCCATGTGTCAGATATTAAGATGGGCACCAAAGTCAGAGAAGTAAGTGCAGAAGTCAAGGGTGAGATGGACTAATAGGTAGAGGTTGTAAGTATAGGAACTAGTCCCTAAGAGCCATGTTTGTTTGTTTGTTTTTAAGATTTTATTTATTTATTTGACAGAGAGAGACACAGCAAGAGAGGGAACACAAGCAGGGGGAGTGGGAGAGGGAGAAGCAGGCTTCCTGCCGAGCACGGAGCTGATGTGGGGCTCGATCCCAGGGCCCTGGGATCATGACCTGAGCCGAAGGCAGACGCTTAACGACTGAGCCACCCAGGCGCCCCTGACAGCCATGCTTTTAACACCGATGAGGATACATGGCCTTGGGCCTTTGAGAGTTCTGACTTGTAATCAACTCCCTGATGGTGGGATGGGAACTCAATCATTCCATAAAAACGTCTTTATTTTAAGAACAATCCAGTGTCAAAATGTTAACATGTTAAAATTTGAATGGTCAATATGCACTTGAATATTATGTTATTGTTCGCATTTTTGTATATTTGAAATCTTCCTTAAGGTAAAATAGTTTTAAATGAATAAATAATTGAGAGATTCCTTTGTGAGTCAGTTCATATTTCTGGCCCAGACCTTATACCAAACTACTTACTCAGATCTCCACTTCAACATGCCCAAAACAGCATCCCTAACCTTCCCCACTCGTAACCACAGAATTCTTCCCGTTTCATTTGATCACATCTCTTGTAATTGCTTTGCCCCCAAACTCTGGAAGTATCCTTGACTCCTTTATTTCTCTCATGTCACCTTTTATTCCATCATGCATTCATCTCCTCTAATAATATCCTAGTTTGAGGCAACATCATCTCTCTCCTGGATTACTGCAAAAGCCATCTCTTAGGTGATTTCTCTTTTTATTTTTCCTTCTTCCAGTGTATTTTCAACATATTTGCAGAGTGAGCCTTTAAATGCTCATGTCAGATCTATATTTCCTCTGCTCAAGATCCTGTAATGAATCCTTATTTTGCTCAAAATAGAAGCCAAATCCCTAATAACATCACCTAACGCCCTATATAATCACTACCACATCTCCTATCAGTCCTCTCCTCCTTCACTCTGCTCCAGACACACAGACTCCTAATTGTTCCCTGAACATGCAGCTCCATTCATTTCAGGGCTCCTGCACTTCCTGTTTTCTCTACCTGGCTTCTGCTTTTTTCATGTATCTACATGGCTAATTCCCCTAAGTCTTCAAATCTTTGCTCCAATACCCTCATCTTAATTAGGAATTAAGTATTAATTAATTAATTGTATCCCTACATAAATTAGCAACCCACCATCCCTGAATCCCTGATGCCTCATACCATATCTACTTTATTTTCCATAGGATTGATTACCTTCTTACATACTATGTTTAGTTTGACCAACCATTCTTGCATGTCTGAAACCTAGGCTTTCCCAAAATGTAGGAGTTTTAATACTAAAACTGGAAGAGTTTTGAGCAAACTGGGACAAGTTGATCATCTTATTTTACCTTTTTAAATTGATTTATTACCACTACCCCAATTGAGTAAGAGGTCTATGAAGGGAGAAATCTGTGTATGCTTTGCATGGCATGCATCAGTAAATCTTACCTTGTGTGGAAGAGTAGATGGATGGATAATGGGAAAGAAAGGGAAAGCAGCAGGATAACACTGAGAACTAACATCAAACCAAAGGTATATGAACATTTTCATGGGAATAGGGATATCATTAATACATTTGCATGTTAGATTTTATATTTAAACAAAATATAGTTTATTTGTACATACAGCTTTCTTTTTGTCTTTATACAACTAGATGTAAATTCCAGAGACCACTGGTTTCAGAGAAACCTGGATTATCTTTTGATGACATGGCACCCAACAAAGAAAACAATATACAGTGGGTTGTCGGAAACACAAGAAGAAAAACAAAACTATATGAAGTGGTAGATGTATTAATTATCTTGGCCTTGATAATCATTGTATAATGTATAGGTATATCAAATCATCACATTGTACACTTTAAATATACACAACTCCATGTGTCAATTATTCCTCACTAAAGTTAAAAAAGAAAAAAAAGAAAAGAAAGAAAACTGTGACCAGTGAGATCATTAATCATGTGGGGAAGAATCACTTAGAGAAGTGGAAATGTGCCTGTGGGTGTTATTTTACTGGGTAATCACGCAATCTGGCCTTCTGGTTAGTGTGGGAAAGGAAGATTCATCCTAATTTCAAGTCCCTGAAAGACAAATAAAAAGTGACAACTTCGAATGTATGTTGCTTCCTATGCACGCAAGATAAGCAGAACAGAAGAGAAGGCTAACATGAATAGAGTTAGACACTATGAAACCCAAAAAAAGACAGGAGGAAAAGGCACAGGAATGAGGTAATGTGTCTAGTCTTGTCCAGAGGTGGTTATCAAAGCATGGTTCATCTTCCACTGGCATTGTCATCATTATTAAAATGCCAATTTATGATACCCAGACAAGGCACAGTGGATTTAAATACCTATAATTTGATTCCGTTCATCAGTATTTTTAACCTGATCCCATATAACTCTTAAAATGTGAGAACTTTCATGGCTCATTAACTTCTTAAGGGGAAAAAAAATTATGAACGCATTATGAAATGTATACTACTGTTAGGTCTTTGTGTACCTAGGTAAATTGAGAAATAACCCTGTGTTTTATTTATTTGCAGTGTTATTTTGGTTATTTGAAGTTAATTGGGTTTTTTTTTGTTTAAAATGTCTGAATTTGAAGAATCCGTTTATGTATTACAACACAGACCTATCTGAGCTAAATGATCCCAATAACTGGGGATTGACCTGGGTGCCCAAATTCTTCATGAAGTTTGCCTGACAACTAACTAAATAACTTGTGACTCCCAGGCATACGGATGGGAAAGTCAGTTCTATAATAACAGCTAGCCTGAGGGCAGAGGCAGCTTAGTGATCAGGACTCACCTCCACTTTTGTTATAGAGCTCTCGACACAGTTTTTCAGCCACGCGCTGTAGGATTTCTGCAAGCTTCCTGTTCTTGGTTTGGAGAGACTGCAGCTGTCGGGAGAGATTCCCCAGTCTTTCTTCCTTGTGAGAAATGCTGTCTTGCTGAGTATTGGAAAGCTGATAGAACTGAAAAACTAACCCAAGTTACCAAGTCAGACTGGACAGCTGATTTCTTCATTTCTATTTCTACTTTTTACATATGGGGGAAGACAAAACATCGTATTGTTTAAGATCTCATGCTCTGAGATTTCATTTTGCCTGTGTTCAAATTTGAACTGAAGCACATAATAAATTGCACTGCCTTGGGCAAATTAATGTCTCTAAGTCTGTTTTTTTAATCTGAAAATGTAGAATCTTAGTAACAGTTTCTAACTTCAGGACTAAATTCCTTAACCATATTTACTGCTCAATAAATATTTTGTGTCTACTCTTAAACCACTACTTAATAAAACCACAAATCCATTTATCTATTGATTATTATATTGAGCATTGACAGTGTACCATATATTGTTATCTAATTCATTCATTAAAATAGTCATATTATCATTTCCATAGTTTTATAGCTTCCAAATTGGGCTCAGTGAGAACAATTGGGCTCAGTGAGAACAAGCAATTTCCATAGTATCCCTTGGCTAGAAAATTTCAACACTTAGGTTTAAGCTCCAGATTTCTAAATCTAAGTAGAGAAATCCTTCATGAATCATGAAAGTTGATTTATATCCCTAAAAGGAATGCTGGTTGTGAAACAAATTATATCAAAATGAAGTAAAAATTGGGGGGCCATGGTAGAAACACTAAGAAACATTTTTTTTTTAATTTTAAAAAGTTACAATAACAAAGGACAGTTCTAACATTTCTTAGAAAAACCAAATGTTTGACCTGCTCTTCAGGGTAACCTCTTCACCTTGAGCCACCTTCTTCAACTGCTCAGGAAACATTACTGTAGCGTCTCAATTTCATGAAGCAAATTCACCCACTTCCTTTTTTTTTTTTTTTACTTTTTGAACTTGTCTTTACTTGTTTGAAATTTAAAGACTTTTTCACATGCATGCATTTTTCCTTGTTTGGTTTTCACAAGATTTTATGAAATGATTCTGTAATTTCCTGGACTTTTTTGAAAAATACTGTAGAAATTAAGGACCTATTCTGCTCTCCTTATATTGAGGGAGTAGATATAAATGAGATCTCTTCTCTCTGTATTAGCTGCTGAGCTATGCGTACTAAGAGCAAAAACCACAGCCTGTACTCTTTTGTAGAATGAGAGAGAGATAAATCATGCATTCATTAAAAACTGCTGATTTTAGGGGCTCAGTCATCCGACTCTTGATTTTGTCTCAGGTCATGATCCTAGGGTCTTCAGGTGAAGACCCTAGTGCAGCTCTGTGCTCCGTGCGGAGTCTGCTTAAGATTCTCTCTCCGCGACTCTCTCTGCCCCTCCCCCTCCACAGAGCCTTTCCCCTGCCCCACTCCCCCCAAAAACTGCTGATTTTAAATATTGACATGTAAACAAACAGATAAAACCTGCTTATCTCAAACAGAATGTAAAAGTCTAGCTGGCAAGTGATGATTGCTGTATTTTAATGCTTCTTTCACTGCTCGTCATTTCAATGAGTGCTTTAGAATAAGGTATATTGAATTATCCATGGGCTCCAGAATTAAAGTAAAAAAAAACCCAAAAACATAACAAGTATTTCTCATCCTAGACAAACCTTAGAACCAGGATCCTCCCCCAAGTCAGGGCGCAGACTTACACACAAGCCCCAGGGCTAACAGGCCGATCAGCAGCACCAAACACAAAGTCAGCAGGGTCAGGGCCACTGGACGCCAAACTGAAGAGGGAGGCCGGCGCTCTGCAGGGAGCAAAGAGGAAAAGGCAGGATTTCGCTTTTTCTTTCTCTTGGATCCATTCCACCAGCAGGTCAGAAGAGCTGGTTCTGGGAAAGGACAACAGTAAGCAGGGGCTAGATAACACTCCCTCTGTCCTCACAACACTGTCGAGAGGCTCAGTGCCAAGCCTCCCTGCCACAGCGGGATTCCCTCACGCGCCCCGCCCATTTCCATAGCCCCAAGCCACCAGCAGTTCCACTGCGGAATCAAGTCACGCATCGCCCTTATCTTTAAAAGGTTGTTTGCATAACCTTCTCTGTGTGAAAATTCGAGTTATGAAAGACATAGAAATGCCTGAACGGGGAACCGTTTTTCGTATCATCAGAGAAGAGATGAAATTAATTTGTTGTTACTTTCGCAAAACACCTCCCCGAGTTCCATATGTGCTTCTTCTTCTTTTTTTTTTTTTTTAAAGATTTTATTTATTTGACAGACAAAGACACAGTGAAAGAGGGAACACAAGCAGGGGGAGTGCGAGAGGGAGAAGCAGGCTTCCCGCAGAGCAGGGAGCCTGATGCGGGGCTCGATCCCACGACACTGGGATCATGACCTGAGCCGAAGGCAGATGCTTAACGACTGAGTCACCAGGCGCCCCCCATATGTGCTTCTTCTGAAAAGAAAATTGCATATCAGTAATGAGAAATGATCATTTGACTGTTTCCTTTTTGGGATTGCTTTGTTGAAAGTCCCTCTTCTATAAGGATTTTGTTCATTCATTTGATTTCTATCTCTGCAAAAATGGATTATAAAGAGACATGGTCATCAGTTTCTTGAGGATGGATCTAAGCGATCTCAATTTTGAACAGTTAAATAATAAGTGCCACGCCCCCACGAGTTTGCCTTCTGCTAATTGAAGAGGCTACCGAGTCAACAGTGAACCCATCATCGCCTAGTGAGACTGTTAATCTAAACGACCTGTGATATCAGACAAGGAAGACCCTCCCACTCCCATCCCCTCAGGTACACATAGCATCTAGCATTGTGATTAAAATGAAACAAAGGGAGAGCAACATCCTCAAAGAAACTGGTGTCTCCAAGACCTGTGTTTCATTTCATTGGGAAATGAAGTCATGTTCTTTAAAAAAATTTTTTTTTTCTAAATTTTATTTATTTATTTGACAGAGCACACAAGCAGGGGAAGGGGCAGAGGGAGAGGGAGAATCAGACTCCCCGCTGAGCAGGGAGCCTGATATGGGAGTTGATCCCAGGACCTGGAGATCATGACCTGGCCCAAAGGCCAACGCTTAACGGACTGAGCCATCCAGGCATCCCTTGAAGTCATGTTCTAATACAAAAAGATTAAAGACATATAAATTCTTTTCCTCTTTAGCACAGTCCTTTATGTAATGCAGTCTAGGTATAGAAGTTTCTGTTACACATTATTTCCAAATGGGGAATGGTAAGTGGGAAAGATAAAAATGGAAAATGTGATTACTATCCTTTGGAATTTACAGTCTAGTAGGAAAAATCATGGAGCAGACATTGAGATTGATATATAAAAGTGAATCTTATTTTCTCTTAATAATTATCTCCGTTAAAAACTTTCAATGGATTGCATTACAGTTGGAATAAAATCCAAATCATTCTTCGTGAAGATTCAGATTTCTCTTTTTAACACAATTTGAAATTTGAAGTTACGTTATTTCCCAACTTAAAAACTTCCAATAACGTTTTTGCACTTAAAATTACAAGTCTTTTTCTTCTGGACCCAACCTACTTCTTTCATCCTTTTCCGAACTACCCTCCCCTCACTCAAGTGTTCTACTCACTGGCCTCTGTTTATCCTTGAAACAAAGAAGCTTATCCCAGTCCTCGTACCTTTGAGTGAGCTCTCCTCTGCCCTGCATTAATTAATACTCAGAGCACGTGTTGGTAGGCTACTCCCTGCTACTCAGCTTTCCACTTAAAGGTGCATCCTTGGAAGAGCTCCATGAGTTCATTTCTAATACATAACCCCTTTACATATATTTTTTAAAAATAAGATTATTAATATTTTCATGGCTTTCATGTGTTTGTTTTCATTTATATCCTCCCTCCCATTGAAGGTACATTCCATGAAAACAGTGATATTGTCTGTCTTGCTCACCAGTATATTTCCAGGATTGAAAGTAGTTAGTTCCTTGCACATAAGGGCTGAATACATATTTGAATGAGTAAATGAATGAAGAATGAAATTGTGAAAACTTAATATGACTTAAACTATGTAATTTTTACAGCAGCACAGAGGATTATCTAAAGTTAAACTTCGTTGATTTTTTTAAAAATCTATTGACCTTTCAGCAGTATTTCTGACAGCAGAAGGTGGACTCAGCTAAATTTATCTTCTAGCCATACTAGTCTCTATTCACTGACTTGTGTGAGATTCTGAATCATGAACAGATATTAGAGATATTTGCTTTCTCCCCTATTTCCTTCAATTAGCTTACCTATGTAGTTTGGTCTAAATTTTCCTGGAAATTGTTGACTTCTCAAGGCATTGACCTAAAGAGTATCTCAAATCAGCAGAACATAAAAGAACAAGATCAGAGGGCAGAATACAGCTTAAGCTAAACATTCTCTCCAAACCCTAAGTCTCTTGAAAGTTCTGTGCAACCCAAGAAACTTGAGTAGGTGGATGGTTCTAGATTTCAGAACTACAAGTGCATATGTGGACCCACCACCATGATGGCTTTATTTTTCTCCATAAATCTTATTACTATCAAATATATTATATATCTTACCCATTTCTTCTGGTTTATAGCTGTAGAAAGTAAGCTCCTTTTGAAGAAGTTTATTATAGTCTATTTAGTCACTAGAAGAACATTGATTCTAGCACCTAGAACATCAGATGGAAGAAGCTCAATTAACGTTGAATGAATGTGTCAACTATATATAAATATCTGTTACATGCCTATCTACCCCTGCTCAAACCTATTTATATTAGTACACATCTGAAAGGCATAAACTATTTTTTAAGTATTTTATTTATTTATTTGAGAGAAAGAGACAGAGCAAGCAAGAGCAGGTAGGGCAGAGGGAGAAGGAGAGAAAGAATCTCGAGCTGACTCTGTGCTGAGCACAGCTGGATGTGGGGCTGGATCTCAAGACCCTGAGATCATGACCTGAGCTGACACCAAGAATCAGTCACTTAACCAACTGAGCCACCCCAACACCCCAGACATAAACTTTTTTTTAAATGTCGGTCCTTCTTGTAATTGATATTTCCCTGGCCAAATATTATAAATAATAAGAGGGTAAAAGAACAACCATGGAAATCAACCAAATTATCCCTTAAGAAACCTGCTTTTCCTTGTATAATACAGGGGCAAGAGAAATGCTGATCTTCTGCTCAAAGGATCAAAAAGAATAATCTTAAATCCTTACTGTGGAATGAGGGCATGGGCTTAAGGAATTAGAATATTATTTAATAATAATTATATCCATGTAAACAGATCATCCTTCCTAAGGTTGTCTCTAGGACAGAAGATGTAAGTAGTATATGATATCTTCTGCTAAGGAACAAAGTTTTAAAAATTCCCTTCCAATGAATCATCTTTCCCTGGTCATTTGGAAATTTTTCTACTCTGACTCTCTTCTCTCTCTCTCCTTCTCTCCCTTCCTCCTCCTTCCCTTTCTACCTCCCTGCCTCCCTTTCTCAATATTCACAATCACTTTGTTTTATCTCAGGACCCAGAAAAACACAACCCTAGGGAGTTTCTACAGCAGATATGGCAATTTCCTAGGAACCTTGGCTTCCATGATGGAAAAACCATAGAGTTGAAAGTTTCATTTTTTTTTTTTTAAACTGTAGAGAACAAACTGAGGGTTGTTAGAGGAGAGGAGAATGGGGGGATGGTCTAAGTAGATGATGGGGATTAAGGAGGGCACTTGTGATGAGCACTGGTTGGTGTATGAAAGTGATTAATCACTAAATTCTATACCTGAAACAAAAAGAAAAAAAGAAAAGTGAAACTTTCTTTTTGATGCTGTTTTTCCCTCTATTTTCCTAACTATAGGTTCAATATCCCTAAATTTTATTCCAAGTGCCTTGATCATAATGAGGTCTCTCTCTAGGGACCACCCACACCCTAAAGTAAGAAAAATAAGCTGCCTGGGAGGTGCTTCAGTTTGGCTTGGCTTTACTGTGGTTTTATTTTTTGGAAGAGAACCCCTATTCTGTCTCCTGAGGCATGTTTAGAAAAAGGTGTGGACAGGGCAAGGAATGATATAAACATCCTTAGGAATAATAAGATATATATATAAAAAAAAAAACACTGCTTTCCTGTATCCTTTTACTCTAACTATACTATAAAAGGCTACAGTGCTAAGGCCAAGTTTTGAACACAAATTCCTTTGTAGATATAAGAAACTTTGTAGATGAAGAGTTGTCATACTTGACCAGTTACTCTTCATCAGGCATCACAGAGGGGAAATTTTATACACTTCCATTCCCAGAGCCGAGGAGAAATGAAACATATATTACCAGATATAGTCTATTACTATGACTCTGAAATAGCATAATAAAAGCTGGAAAAGACACAAAGACTTTATTTTTTTTAAGATTTTTTTTTTTTTATTTGAGGGAGATCTAGAGAGAGGGAGAGAGAGAGAGAGAGAGAGATCAAGAGCCCAAGCAGGGGGAGGAGCAGAGGGAGAGAGAGAAGCAGACTCCCCACTGAGCAGGGAACCCACTGCAGGACTCCATCCCAGGATCTAAGGATCATGACCTGAGCCACCCAGGAGCCCCGGAACAGACAAAGAAACTTGAGATAATTTGTACAAAGCCACATTGCAAAATAAGGGCAGAACCAGGATTAAATTGTGCTTAACACCACACTTTGTATACTTCTTCTTGACCAGGACTCAGACAATTGGGGACTAAACTGGTGACAAAGTGCATAATATTTCAGAAATTACTTTTAATATTTTTAATCATGAGACATTGCTGATTGGATATCTGACTTTTGGATATATTTTTAAATTTTAAATGTTGTCTTTTCAGCAACTTCCTGTTGTTTCCTTAATCCTCACATATGGCACATAATAAATCTCCTCATGGGAGAATATT